GCCAGTGTGCCTGCCATGAGGATGTGCCAAGTCGTTCGAATCTGCAGGGCTGTCTGACACACTTGAGTCTGATTGATGTTGAATGTGATTGCCAACGATATTGCCAATATCTGAACCGACTGCGCTGTGTGATGTATGTGAAACGTGATCAGCAATGGACGAGGCAACGGTCTCGGGGTTGGGGCCCGTAGGCGGAACTTCGGAACCCAAAAGAATTGGCTACTGCGTTGCCCATTGTGTTGTGTACAGTTTCCTTTGCTGCCTCTGCTGGCTGTGGCGGAGGAGGTGGGTCATCGGTCGAAGAGAAACGTGGTGGGTCCCACAGTGGCGGCGGCGGGGTAAGTCGTAGCGGCGGGATCGGCAACCGCGCAGGCAATAGTAAGTGTTGCGAACTTGAGTGCCACTTCGGAACGCCGTGCCTGTCATAGTCGTCGCCTTTGTTGGAAAATCGGTCAACGTGTTTGTAGATTAGACTGTCATCATTGAGCGCGATGTGAATACGATGGGTGCTGGTGGCAAGTCCGATTCTATTGCATGTCTTGTGCAGGTGCTTGGAGGATGCACGCTTGTTTACTGCTGGATAGGGGATGTCGCGAGCGCATCTAGAAGCATGGGGCGAGAGAGAGGACAACGAACGAATGCTAGGGCCTCGGGCGGTGATCGGATCGATCCCGTGCGTGGGCGGGCCCGGGGGCTGGCTTCCCGAGAGCTCGGGAGGTCATGAGCTAGATCGGCGACTTTGATCCGTTACGTGATGCGAATCGGAGGAGGAGGAGGAGGAGGAGGAGGAGGAGGAGGAGGAGGAGGAGGAGGAGGAAGGATGATGATTCGTCGGTCTTAGTCTTCTAACGTCTGCCAGTCTTCGGTCGTCGGCGGCTTCAACACCTGCTCTAGTCTTGTCTAGGGATTCGGGGGGGAGGGGGGAATTTCGCATCACGTGACGAAATCCTTCCACCTACTAGAGGTCTCACCTCCTCGCCCTGCTCCTCCTGTCCACTGCCGCTCCCTCGTGCAAGAGCTCGGGCGGGGCCAGGACCAGGATACCAGGGCTGGACCTAAACGCTGTTGTGCTGGACTTCGGCTGTGTTTTGTTTTTCGTTTTGGCAGGGAGGTACAGGAAAACAGGTAGAGCAGAACGAAGCACAACGAAAGCAACATGAAAAACAACGTTTAGGTCCAGCCCTGCAGGATACATCGTTCCGGAACGCTCCCATAGTGTTCTGGAGCGCTTTGGGACGGCCGCGACGCCCGATGCATCTTTCAGAGCCGCCGGATCCCAGAGATCCCCGATTTGTCGCGTTACGATTGCGTCCGTGGCCCTGGAGTCGTCTTCAGAGCCAGGGCACGACTGCCATTTGTTTTCATTCGTTCGGCGCCGTCCGTGCCTTCGTCGCCTTCCCCGCCTCACCCCGCCGCCCTGTCTCTCCTGGTCCTGGCCCCGCCCTGGAGGCCTGCGCTTTCGCCTCCCAGGGCCCAAGAGCCTGTAATTTGAGGTCGTTGGCCATCACGTCCTCGCCAAGTAACACGTGGAAGGCCCGCGTATTGATTCAACAAGTGGGGGGCCCACGCGTTGATTTGACCGGTGGAGTCCCTCGCCGCCCCCTCTTGTGCAAGAGCCAGGGCCCGCGTGCCGCTTGTTTCCCGAGTATCCCTGGAAGTCCACGAGCCTCCTTTAAGCGTCTTCGCTGCAGTGGCTCTTCCATCGCACCCCACTGCCGCCTCGCCCTTGAGGACGACGAGGACGGTGGTGGCGAGGGCGGCGACTGCGGCACGCAGTGAGCCGACGCACGAGTCGCCGTCACGCAGAAAAACATGCATGGCCCTTTCTTCCCTTTTTGGCTTGGACTTCGCTTTATCCCTCCACCTCAGTGGTTATTTGTGTTACCCATTGTGGCTCTGGTGCGAATGGAGTCTTCCTTCGAAGGGCTTCCAGCTAAGCCGCATTCATCTCCCAGGTTTCCAGTGTTGGTGCTGGCGTTCGTGTTGGCGTCGGCGCTGATGTAGGCGCTGGCGATGGTGTTAGCGTAGGCTCAAGCGATAATGCTGGCGTCGGCCATGGTCAGAAACCGGCGATAGTTCTGGCGTCGGTGCTGGCCGGGGTTGGTGACGGCACTGGCGATAGTGCTGCCTAGGCGCCAGCGTTGGTGCTGGCGACGGTGCTGGCCTCGGCGCTTGTGTAGACGCTGGCGCTGGTGCCAGCGGAGGCGCATGCGTGGATGCTGGCGTCGGTGCCGGTGTCGACGCTGGCGTAGGTGCTGGCGTTTGTGCTGGCGTCGGTGTACGTGCAGGCGCCGGCGTTGGTGCCTGCAGGCGTTGATGCTGGCGTCGACGCTGGAGGTGCCGGCGTTGGAGCTCACGTCCGTGCTGGCGTCGGCGTCGGTGTAGGCACTGGCGTCGGTGCCGGGGTAGGGGCAGACGTTGCTGCTGGCGTCGGTGCTGGTGTCGGCGCTGGCTGAGGCGCCAGCATTGGCGTCGGTGCTGGCAACGGTGGTCGGCGCGGGCGCGGCATTCGCGCTGGCGTCCATTCTGGCGTCGGCGCTGGTGTAGACGCTGGCGTTGCTGCTGGCCGAGGCACAGGCCTTGATGCTGGCGTCGGTATTGGCGTCGGCGCTGGATTAGGCGCCGACGATAGCTCTGGCGTCGGTGCTGGCGCTGCTGGCGTCGGGGCTGCTGTAGGCGGTGGACGTAACGGTCTGGACGTAAAGGTCTGGACGCCCAACTGGACGTGATGGTGGAGGCGCTGATGCTGGTGCAGGCGGAGGTGCATGCGTCGGTGCTGGCGTCGACGCTGGTGTCGGTACTGGAGTAGGCGATGGCGTTGGTGCTGGCGCAGGCGCAGGCGTGGGTGCTGGCGCCAACACTGGCGCCCACGCCAGCACGAATGCCATCGCCCATACCAGCGCAGACGCAGGCACCGACGCCGACGCCGACACCCGACACCAATTTCAGCGCCTGCGCCAACACCGACGCCAGCACGGATGCGAGCCCCAACGCCGGCGCCTCCTCCAGCGCCGCTGCCAGCGCCGACGCCAGCACCGACGCCTGCGCCAGCTGGTACCAGCGCCAGCGCCTGCATCAGCACAGACGCCAGCACCAACGACAGCGCCTACACCAGCACCTGCGCGTGCGCCCACGCCAGCACTGACGCCGGAATCAACGCTTGCGCCTTCGCTGGCACCTACGCCGCCACCACCCACATGGGCTACAACATGTTACCCCCGATCAGACTCGCCACGACCTTTGCTATGACGCTCGCCGCACTGGGGGCCTCGTGATGTCACGGAATACCCGCCTGGACGTGTCACGGTTTCCGCCCTCGCCTTGTCGCAACGCTCGCCGGCTTACGTCGAAGCGCACGCCTTGAGCAACACGACGGGCGCCACGAGCAGCACAGCCCCGTGAGCAGTGCGGCTGCGTCATGCAGAACGGCGTCAGCAGCAACTTGGGGACTTACAACGCGATTCTGGCACCCAGTCGGGGTACGACGACGGAACACTGGGACTCCGACCAACGGGACCGAGCAGATGGGCCCCACTGCAGGCCAGCCCTGCACCCGCCAGTGCAGCCACCAGCGCAGCCCAGGATGCGACGACCTCCACGAGCTCGACGAGTGGCTCCGGTACCAGCGGCATGAGCACGACGATCAGCAGCTCCAGGACTATCACAACCACCACGAGTTCGACGAGTGCGAACGCGAGATCGACGAGTGGCTCCGGCACCAGAGCCGGCACGACGACACTGAGCGTCACGAGCATGACGGCTAGCATCTACCCGGCGCCCTGCCCGGTGCCGTACCCGACGCCCTTCCCGACGCCCCACCCGTCGCCCTACCCGACGCCCTACCCGACGTTTTTTGGGGATGCCAGCCCATCCTCCTGAATCGGCTGTCCACGACGACCAGCAACTCCAGGATATGGATCCGACGGCCACCACCTGGATCCCACTGTGTGGCGGCATCCTTGTTTCGGAATCTTGGCTCGCTGGCTTTGCATGTTGTTCAGACCGTTACGAGTGACCAGCACCGTGTGGCGGTATCCTTGCTTCTGGCCAGACTGACGCACCCACCCCGTCGCAGTACCCCGACATCCAGTAGAGGACGAGTACATGCACACCGTGACGGGTACCAGCATCATTGCAGCCGCACAGTCAGACAGCCATCGCCGCCTCAGCAGCAGGAGGACGACCAGGGCACTCAATCGGGTGTCCCGGGCCTGGGGTGGGGTGCCTGCTGGCTCTGGTGTTCCGGGTGGGAGTGTGGGGGGGCCGTCTTTCTGTTTCCTGCAGGCTTCCTTGCCCTCAGGACCATACTCCGCTCAGGAATCTTTCACTTCGGAGTCGGGCGCTCCCACGTCGACCAGTACCAGCGGCTCAACATCACCAGGCGGCACGGCCACGACGCCCAGCAGTTGCGGGGCTACACTGGCCACCAGGTGTTCGACGAGTGGCTCCGGTGCCAGCGCCACGACGACGCTTGGCGACACGACCTCGAAGGCCAGATCAAGGGTTACGACGGCCACCACGATTTCGGCGACTGGCTCCAGTACCATCGGCACGCTGACGCTGAACGCTATGATCCTCAAGGCCGACTCCTACGTGATTCCCTGAGGCTTCCTCGTCTTTTCGCGTCGGTCGGCGCTGCTGCTTTTTAGCGTGTCCTCGCCTCGCGCGTTGCCCTTTTCCTTTCCCCCCTCTGCCTCCTCAATTGGCGCCTGGGGCGCCCAGTGCATTCCGGGGCTGCGGGTTGGCCGTTGGCCGCCCGGTCCTGCGAGCCGCTCCCGTAGGGGGCCGCTTCTGGCCCGCACCGTCGCTGGCGCCTGCGTGTCTCCTGGCGGCCATGCCGCGTCCGCACAGCTTAGTTATGTGGTCTCCTAGTTTCTGGTGTGCGTTGCTCGCCCAGTTTCCTCGCGTCTTGAGTTGGCGCTTCGCTTTTACAGGTCCTCACTTGCATATCATACTGTGTGCTGTAATTCGTTGGCGTGCAGGCTTGCGTGGTGACTCACGGAGCTACGCCTCTCAGATGCAACCGCCGTTTTTTGCGCCAGTGCTTGAGAGGAAAAAAATCATCTCCCAGGTTTCCGTCTGGGCCGCTCCTTGCTGTGCTTGTGTGTGTGTGTGTCTTGGCTGAGTCGCTCTTGTTCTTACTGGCTTGATATCCTCACATTGCCGTCTTCCCCCGATGGCCCTCCTCTCCCCCTCGCCCCCCCTTTGTCCATTTTCCTTTTCTCCACCTCCCCCCACCTCTCTGAATCTCTTCTCCCCTTCTTTCCGCTCCGCTCTTCCCCTCCGCCCTTCCTGTTCTCGCGCAGGACTTGCCAGGACCCCGGGCAAGGGGAACCGGTCAGTGATTCGGCCCGGAAGCCCCCCTAAACTTGCCAGAATCACTGAACCAGGTCTTCCGCAGGTGGTGTTTTTCGGGTGACGGCAGTTCCGCCTGCTTCGTGGAATGGGGGGGGGGGGCGGGGCGTTCACCGGGTATACATCGGTAAACCAGGTCCCGTCCTGCCAACGCCCAGATGAGATTGAGGATGGGGAGGAGCAAGAGGAGGAGGGGGAGGGGGAGGAGGAGGAGAAAGAGGAGGAGGAGGAGGAGGAGGAGGAAGAGGACGGGGAGGGGGAAGAGGAGGACGGGGAGGGGGAGGAGGTTCTCAGTCACCTCCTCCCTTCTATCTTCTTGTGCCTCGGCGCTGCCCCTGTTGCCGTCTGCCGTCTCTCTTCTCGTGCCCCTGCCTCGCCTGTCCCTCTCAGCCATTTCCCCTTATCGCCCTCGTGGAGGTTGTGTGCGGGGAAATGCCTGGAGACGTGAGAATTCCACCCTTCGTCCATGGGCAGTTCTCTCAAATGGCTTGGACATGTGGGAATTTGAGGGGGCGGGCTTGGTGCAGTGGAGAGGGAGAGGCTCAGCTTTCTCATGCTTTACTCGTTGTTCTCGGTTTTGTTTGTAGCATCTTGGGCCTAGTGACAGCAAGCATGCGAGCAGAGAAGGAGCGCACCTGCGTCAGAAGTGAGCGATGCGGGGCCATCCCACCCGTGCGGTGCACATCCTCCTCATTCTTCCTCCGCTTCCTCGCTTGATGGAGCGGAAGTGCGCCGCCACGCCGAGAAAGGCCGGAAGCGCCCGGTGTTTGACGCCTGGCCCCCGCCCCCGTCATAGCCCCGCGATGGCGATGAAGGCTGGAGTTATCAAGAGGCGCGCGCCTTGTTCTCCTCCTCCTCCACCTCCTTCCCCTCCTCACTCCTCACTCCTCGCTCCTCATTTTTCAATCCTCACTCCTCGCTCCTCACTCCTCGCTCCTCACTCCTCACTCCTCCCTCGTCCTCCCATGTCCTCCTCCTCCTACTCCTCCTCTTCCTCACTCCTCGCTCCTCGCTCATCACTCTTCGCTCCTCGCTCATCACTCCTCGCTCCGTGGCCATTTTGGTCCAAGGTGTCTGCGTGGGGGGCTGCTGCTTGGCAGTAGGGGCACTGCCGACCGCGGCCAGGCCCGCCGTCTCGGCCTGGCTCGCACCAGGTCTTCCTCCTCCTCCTTCTCCTCCTCCTCCTCCTCCTCCTTCTTCTCCCCCTTCTCCTCCTCACTCCTCGCTCCTCGCTCCTCGCTCCTCGCTCCTCATTCCTCACTCCTCACTCCTCACTCCTCACTCCTCACTGCTCACTCATCACTCCTCACTCCTCATTCCTTCCCCTCCTGCTCCTCACTCCTCGCTCCTGACTCCTCACTCCTCCCCCGTCCTCCCCGTCCTCCTTCTCCCCCGTCCCGCTCCTCCTCCTCCTCCTCCTCCTCCTCCTCCTCCTCCTCCTCCTCCTCCTCCTCCTCTCGCTCCTCGCTCCTCGCTCAGGTCTGGATCCTGGGCCACTCGCGGGGGCGCGGAGATAATCGCGTGGCTCCCGTCGCGGTCGGGGCCAGGGTTGCTGCCCTCCTCCAGGGGGGGGCGGCGCGAGGGCGCGAGGGCGCGAGGGCGCGAAGGTGGTCGCGCGTCGGGCATCGCGGGGCGCGATGGGCGACATTGGGTGACGTGGGGACCCCACTGATCCTCTCGGCAGGAGGGCCCGTCGAGGCAACGGCGGCTCTCCCGCCCAATCCACAACCGAATAACGTCGGCTCTCCTCCTCCTCCTCCTCCTCCTCCTCCTCCTCCTCCTCCTCCTCCTCATCATCATCATCATCATCATCATCATCATCATCAGAGCCTCGTCCTCCTCATCCTCAGGATCCCTGCTCCTCCTCCTCCTCCCTCCTCCGCCTCAGGTCCTCCCTCCTCCTCCTCCTCCTCCTCCTCCTCCTCCTCCTTCCTCCCCCCTCCTCCTCCTCCTCCTCCTCCTCCTCCTCCTCCTCCTCCTCCTCCTCCTCCTCCTCCTCCTCCTCCAGTGCATTCAGCCTGCCACCGCTGCGGGCTCGGCGGGCGGCCCACCGTCGGCTGCTGCCCCCCCCCCCGGCCGCGGGGGTGCCCGACAGCGTCGGGGACGGCTGCCAGGCAAGCTGCTGGCAGGGCAGCCCAGAGCAAGAGTGTGGAGGTAGGAAAGGGGTGTGGTGCTAATTTGATCTACAGGCGAATCTGGCGATGGTATTTATCGCAGGTAGCATCCCCATTTCCACGATTGGCACCATACCCCTTTGTGCCACACCCTTTCCGACTTCCGAAAAGAGGCGGCAAAGGCAGCGCACGTGGCGCTGCCGCGGAGGCCACTCCTCGGAGGCGCCTTCGCGGCGGGTCGCAGTCCCCGATCGTCGCTTCGTCCTGCTCAGTCTGGCGTGGCGAGCTCCTGGGCTGGTACTCCTGCCGTTCCTCGTCCTCGTCCTCGTGAGCGGGGGCTGGCCCAGCGAGCCCCAGCACTCTCGCAGTGTGCCAGGGGCGGACGTCGCTGCGCGCTGCTCGTCGTCGTCGTCGTCGTCGTCGTCGTCGTCGTCGTCGTCGTCGTCGTCGTCGTCGTCGTCGTCGTCGTCGTCGTCGTCGTCGTCGCCAAGAGAGGTGACGTCAGGGACGTTCGCGGCGCAGGAGCTGGCCCTGCGCGGTGGCACTGCAGGCGGGGGCCTCGCCCATCGGCGCACCCACCCCCCAGCGGGCCAGGCCGCCGAGTCGACTGCACCCCACTGGCCCGCTGGCCTACAGCCAAGACGCTGAAATAAGGAACAGTTTGGGTTCGGAAGGGGCTCGATGTTCCTTAGGTTCCTCCAGTGCTGTTCCTCTTGCCCTCCTGGGGCACGGAGGCGCTTACAGGGCCAAGAAGGGGCTTCGTCCCTTACTTAGCGTTCCTTCTTTCAGCGGCCCGACCGTAACGGACAAGGCCTCGGCCTCCAGAGCGTGAGATTCCAGGCTCGAGTCCTGGGCGGCCTTCCCCCCCCCGAGCTGCGCGGGGCTCGCCGCGCGGCCTCGGCCGCTCGCCCCGCCCCCGGCCTCGAGTCGGGCGTGCCCCTCTACAGGAGGAATCCTCAGAAGTGGTAAACAAAATGGTCAGGGGCCGAATTTTGCGATTATCTGCTTGTTGAAATCGCATTTTGAATCATTTCGGCCTTCCTCGTCCTCCCTTCTCTTCGCTCCTTCCCCTCCGCTGGCGTTGAACCGCAGCTCCGTTTTGTCCAGGCCGCCTGGACGGCGCGCGCTTGACAGTTACGCTGGGCGAGAGCGATTCTCCTTCCCCCAATTTGTTTTTGAATATTCAGCATTTTTCCTCCCAAATCCGACTGTAGGGGGACATGCCCGACCTGGAGCTTGAGCTTGAGCTCGCTCCTTTCCTGCGGCGGTTGCCGCTCGAGCTCGCTCGTTTCCTCCTCCTCCTCCTTCTCTTCTCCTGTTTCGTTGTTCTTTCTATCTTCGGATCCGCCGCACGGCCAGCAGCCGACAGCTCGCGGTATAGCGTGCACGGTGCTCGAGGTCGCCAGGGGATTTGGTCGTCTCACGACTGCGCCACCGAGCCTGTCATCGCCCTGCTGTGGCCCTTCCACTCCTCCAGCAAAAAAGGTGCCCAACCCGATCCTGGCAGCGGGGGCGTGCTTCCTGGGCGATGGCGGCAGGGGGGTGCGGGCTTGCAGCGGCACGGCTGGCGCCAAGGGGCGCCCTGCGCCCCGCTCCGAGCGCGGGGCCCGAGCCGCCTCCCGTCGGCGGCACCCCGACGTACGAATACTGTGTGTGCGTCGCCCCTCCTCCTCCTCCTCCTCCTCCTCCTCCTCCTCCTCCTCCTCTTCCTCCTTCCCCTCCTCCTCCTCCTCCTGCTCCTCCTCCTCCTCCTCCTCCTCCGCCTCCTCCTCCTCCTCCTCCTCCTCCGGGGGCGACGCGCGCACCGAGACACCTCGCGGCGGGGGCGTGGGTCAAGGAGTGCGCCCAAGAGCCTCCAGACCCTGGAGGCTTCCCTAGCTGAGGAGGGCGGCGGCGGTATCCGTGGCCGATCCACGAGCGGAGTTCCGCGGGCTTCCAGACCCCTGGAGTCCTTGTCCAAGGCGGCTTCCTCATCCAATGCCTCCGCCGTATTCAGTCAACGCGCATGGGAAGGACGCGCGCCTTTCCTAGGGTACCCCTGTGTCCTTGCTTCTGCGGCCTGTCCTTTGCCGTTTCCATTGGGGTTTTGGTCGCCCGCCGCCCAACAAATCCGGATTTTGGGCTCCAAGGGTCTTGCGTCCTTACCGCCCGTCCTTAATATACGTTTTCACTGTAGTATGGGCACCGTGGCGGGCGCTTTCTGGCCGTGCTGTTCGGGCAGCCGTGCACTGCAAGGGCGGTGCGGTTCTGCAGCGGCACGGCGGGCGCCAAGGGGCGCTCTGCGCTTCCCGCTCCGGGGCGCGGGGCCCGAGCCGCCTCCTGATGTGCGGGTCCTCGGCAGACGGCGCGTCTCCTTCGGATGTTTACGTTTATGTGGTCTCAATGTGGTGATTGTGCCCAACTCGTCGGTACAGTCCTGACGTGTTCGTTCCTCACATCCTCGGTACAATATTTAGTTCCTGATGTGAGATTCGATGAGCACATTTGAATTGCGCACAGAGACAGATCGAAGTGGCTCCCTGCCATGCCATTCTCATCCTTCGGCGGTCCGTCGGTGGGCCGTGTATCCTGAGGATCAGAGGAGGATTGGGCGGGCCGGTGGTGCGTCGCCGTCGCCGTCGCCGTCGCCGCCTCCCTGGGCCGATGTGGGTCCTCGGCGGACCGTGCGGCAGACGGGCTCGGTGGCGCAAGTTGGCGCGGGCAGAGCGGTCCAGGCGTCTTGGGACCGTCTCGGCGGTCACGCAAGGAGGAGGAGGAGGCGGAGGAGGAGGAGGAGGAGGAGGAGGAGGAGGAGGAGGAGGAGGAGGAGGAGGAGGAGGAGGTGGAGGAGGAGGAGGAGGAGGAGGAGGACGGAGGAGGAGGAGGAGGAGGGAGGAGGAGGAGGAGGAGGAGGAGGAGGAGGAGGAGGACGGGGAGGAGGAGGAGGAGGAGGAGGAGGAGGAGGAGGAGGAGGAGGAGGGGAGGAGAGGAGGAGGAGGAGGAGGAGGAGGAGGAGAAGGGAGGAGGCAATACTGCGCTCTATTTCGTGATGCGACGGGGCGTGGATTCGACAACGGTCTGCCTCACCGTCCTAGTGCTCTTGTCGTTGCTGGCGCCGGTGCGACAGTCCAATTCGGAGGCCCGGACGCTGTGGTGTTGATCCTGCCAGCGCGCGAGCGCATTTTTGCTAGCAGGTTAACATGGGCAGCAGCAGGAGCAGCCTGGTGGATTACTTTGCCCCAGCTTTGGATGACCTAAACGAGTGGACGGCCATCCTCGACGCTTTGTCATCTTCACTGGCCAGTTGGACTCCGAGTTGGGAGAGCGCGCAGGTTTCAAATAGCAACGAGGACGATGACAGTTCTGGAAAGAGCAATAATGCTCGCAGCGCGGTGGCCAGTAGCGCGTGAGCGTCCTGGCGAGACGCTTCATTCTCCGTGGAGTCAATCTTATTGCGGCCACTGGTCGGCTTGATTTGGGTGTTTGGGGCGAGGTCGGAGCAGCTGTGGCGTTTGCCCGAGTCCTTGGTGCAGACTGAGACTATCCGCAGCTACGATGCTACCGTGAGGCGTTCCGCCTGGCGTCTTGCTGGCGGACCGTCGCGTGTCTGCGTCCGTCTGCCCTGCCCGGCCACCGCACACCCTCCAGCGTTGCCATGCCAGCTCCGAGCATTTCTTGGTCACCGAGCGCGTTTCACTGCTCGCAGAATGCCTGCTCGCAAACCTCCGAAACACACCTGTTTGCCTCGATGTAATATATCGTAAAGCCCCCGCGGCGGATCCAGGCCATTTGCGAGTAGTCACTCTGCGAGCAGTGGAACGCGCTTGGCACTGCCTCCAACATCAGGCGACTCTGCCGAATCCAAAGCAGTCGCGCCAGCCCGTGGCCGCTTGTGCATTTACGGCTTTTCAACCGCGCCTACGTATTGACATGCCCGTGGTGATTCGGTCTGAGGCCGTTCTCGTAGAAGAAGCCCTCGGCGCCTCTGCTTTGGCTTTGGCGGCTCGGTCGGTAACGGTCCGTCTTGCCTCGGCAGGCCACGTCCTCTTCCGGTGCCGGTCGGCGGCGAGCATTTTGAAAATTTTGCGTGTTGCCCGGCCAGGCGGAACCCGCTCGCACGTCCTTGCACCTCTTTCTCCACACCCTCGTCCTGCTCTTGTCCTTTTTGCTGCTGCTGTTCCTTCTCCTCTCCCTCTTTCTCGTCCATCTCCTCTACGTCCTCGTCCTCCTCCTCGCCGTTTCCCCCTTCCCTGTCCCCTCCACCTTCCTTCCCGGGCCTTCTTTCTCCTTTACTCGTCCCATCCCTCCTCCCTCTTCGCCTTCTCACGTCTTTTTCAGTCTGACTTCTTCTTTGTCGTGCAACGTGTGTTTGCATCTGCTCCGCATTAAGCTTAGCCAGCGCCCTCTCACCCGCCCGACACGCACAACTCAGGGAACTGGCTCCAGACTCGAATCTCTTGATCAGGGGCAGGATCGTCCATGTCCTCCATCTGCTCTTTCTGCTCGTCTACCCTGAGAGGTATAACGTGGAGAAGGGCTTCGGGTTCATATCTCCGGACGAGGGTGGCTCGGACCTCTTCGCGCCGAAGCGGACCCGCGTCGCCCATTATCGGCCGTTCCCATCCCCGAATGCAGCAGGGCAGGGGGGGGAGGGAGGTAAGCGGCACAGCAGATGGGGAAGGGGATGCGAAGGAGGGGGTGGGCAAGCTATGTGCGCTCGTGCCATATCTGACATCCGACCCATCCCACCCATCACTTCCCACTGCGCTGCCTTTTTCATCCACCCGCCGACGGGTGTCAGAGCGGACTTGGACCCCCAAGAGGACCCCGCTGTGCCATGCGAAATCACAGCAGGGGAGCTGCGTACATCGGAGGAGGGGGATGTGTCAGGTGGGGTGGGTGGGGGAGGGGGGACATGAGCGGAGGGGAGTGCAGTCACGACCGTCTGGCCCAGGGCCGCCCTTCTAAGCGGAAAGGTTAGCAGTCTGCCTGATCAGGTCCACTTAAGCCGGCTCGCAAACCTCGAGGAAGAAACTGCAAGGCGGCATTGCGCCGCGATGTGTCATACCTGTGTCCTCTGGTGGGTCAAAACAGCATTCCGGACCACGTCGTTGCATCAGGCTTGCTCCGCCATGACGTGTTCCATGGGAACCAGCACAGACGTGGTCGTATGTCGCTCACGTCCACTGCGGTGGGGATACGCCTCTTCTTCTCCTCGCACCAGGCTCTGCCGCAGGCAGACCTTCTGCAATTTGACTCTGATGAGGGTGTTCTCTCTTAGCCATCTTTATCGTGTTGCACCGTGATGGCTTGCAATCTGTCCAGCGTGTGAGGCGGCCACGACGCGGCCGCGGCCGGCGACCGGCTGAAAGCCCCGAAGCGCCAGCCTTCGCACCGAGGCAGCCACGACGCGGCTACGGGCGGCCACCAGCGGAAGACCGGGAACACCGCGCCAGGCATGTGGCGGAAGCCTGAGGGCCCCTCTGTGAAAGCACTGCTTGGGGAACTCGGTAGGCGTTTGCTGCATTTGGCCGTCGTGGGCCAGCCCCCCGGCGCCTCCAGGACGGCCCGGGAGGCGCCCCCAGGAGAGTCGCAGGAGGGCCCTTCTGTGCCGTCATGCGCCGTGTTGGGCACGGGGACTTCGAGCACTTGCAGGGGCGAGCGGAGCCCCCTCCTCCTCCTCCTCCTCCTCCTCCTCCTCCTCCTCCTCCTCCTCCTCCTCCTCCTCCTCCTCCTCCTCCTCCTCCCCTCCTCCTCCCCCTCCTCCTCCTCCTCCTCCTCCCTCCTCCCTCCTCCCTCCCTCCTCCCTCCTCCTCCTCCCTCCTCCTCCTCCCTCCTCCCTCCTCCCTCCCTCCTCCTCCCTCCCCCCCTCCTCCCTCCCCCCTCCTCTATCCTCCCTCAGCTGCCGCCCCGGTTTGAGAGGTTTCGGGCGCCGTACCAGGTACGGCGAACCTCTCTCGGGGCGTGGCAGCCACGCGCGCCGGCCCGCGCCCGCGCATCGGGCGTGCGGGCCCCGCCGCGCCGCCGCTCGCGCTGCCCGCGGCGGCTGGCTACCTGCTGATATCCTGCCCCGTGTTGTGCCGCCCAGCTGGTGTGGCCTCCGCTGCGGGCAGACGTCGCCTGACGTGCAGGGTCGCCATCCGGCATGCGCAAGTGCAGGCGATGGACGTGCGCAACTTGATGGGGTGTGGCCCCCCCCCCAGGCCTCGTCGTGTCGCCCGTGGACATCCTGCTGCCGGAGCTCGTGGCGCACGTGGAGGCGCCAGAGGCTGTGGGTGTACGGGCGCCGCCGCTGCCGCCTGCCAGCTCTGCGCCAGGTTTGGCTGGCTTGGGCGCCAAGACGATGACACCACTTGCGCCGTGGTGGTCGCCGAGGCTGGTTGGCTTGCGCTCGCGATCAAGCCCCTTAGTTTTTTCTTTGGCGGCGCAGTCGCGAACCGCTGCCATTGCTGGCCCCCTGGTGACAACGTGCCCGGTGACACCATACCGCGCTGCTTGGCCGAGGCGCCGCGCCGGTGCTTCGCGACAGGCTGGGGCTGGGCGCTTAGCAGTGGCTGAGCGCGAGGCTGATACTGCACGCCTGACCGCAGAGGAGCGCCAGGCTGCAGCCGCTGGTGTGGCTCGCACTCGTGCTCTCCCTCGTGCCGTCCCTGCCGTACGTGTTCCTGCTAGTGATGATGCAGATCATGCTCTGCCTAGTGCCTTGCTGCACGCCCAGCCAGTGCTGGTCCTCCCGAGGCGCTGCTGGCTGACCTGATCACCGGCGTGGAGTTGCAGAGCGAGCACCACGGTAGTGCCGACGACCACGCCAGCGCCGACTCCGACTCCTCCCTGAGCACCGCGGCCGCATTGGAGTTCGGCATGACTGCTGAGCAGCGGCGGCCCCAGGATCCTACTGAGGCTGCTCCGCCTACGTCTGCTCTCCTTCGGCCGATGGCGATGCAGAGGGTGCAGATGCGGACTCGCCCCGCGCCGGAGGACCTTCCGGCTGCCGTGGACCGCTACGCCGTAGTCTCCGATGCAGGCGTGCTACTCGTGACAGGGGGCATGCTGACGGCGGCGGCGATGTTGCTCCCCATGCCAGACCGTGGGGCTTCCTTGCGCCGTTATTGGCAGCGCGTGGCGCTAGACCGTGATGCCGCTGCCGGTGCTGAGGCCGCTGGGCGTGATGGCCGCACGGCGGAGGAGGGCAAGCCCCTCCCCCCCAGCGTCCCCTGTCGGGGCCTGGGGGAGGCGGCGAGGCAGCCTGCAGGCCCCACCCCGCTTCCAGCTGCGAGAGCGGAGATGGACAGGCCCCTCCCCCCCAGCGTCCACTCTCGGGGCCACGGGGAGGCGGCGCGGCTGCTTACGGGCCCTACCCCGCTACCAGCTGTGAGGTCGTCACCGGCCGAGGTGCGCGAGGAGGGCGCGAGGAACTGGGACCCAGCCGGCCTCATGGCGGATGGCAGCACGGAGCACCTCGCGAGCCGGAGGCCGACGCTGCCCTCGCACGGCCGTGGTTCCATGCTCGCGTCCATGAAGGACTACGTCAATCCCGCGACCACTGCTGCGCTGCCGGGCTATATGTCCCGCGCGATTTGGACCCCAGAGGCATGGTTCACGGCGCGTTCTGCGAGCTGTCCCAGAAGCAGTCCGTGGACGTCCCCGTGGCGGCCGGCGACTCAGGTTTCATTGTGCTGATGCCGAGCCACGCCGACTCTAAGCTGCAGCTGGTCGCCGGGACACCCGTTGGCCGCCTTGCCATGATGGTGATCGCTGACATGTTCTTCCCGCGCGGTCTGCCAGGCTCTCTGAGGCGCCTGCTGAGATAATCGTGCTGCTGTGTATCTCTATGTGCGCTGCGGGTGTGCGAAGATGCCTCAACTTGCACTGATTCCGAGTGACTATCGCGGCCATATTTTATCGCCGAGCTTCATGACATGTAATTACACACTTGCTGTGTATGTTTGTGAAGTGAGGGAGGATTGGAGGGGATGATCAGGAGTGCCGGAGGATGTAAGCCTGCGTTCCAGCTTCGCTCCTTCGTGCTCTGCCCTCATGATCCTCCTCCTCGCCTCGCTTGCTTCCTCCGCGCCTCGCCAGCCGGCGGCGAGAGTTTCAGATGGAGTAGCAGCGCGGGTGGTTGCTGCGAGAGAGCCCCCCCTCAAGCCTCCGTCTTCGCGCCTTGATAGCCGCGTGCCGTCTGCCGAGTCGGTCCGCGTCGCGAGGGTGCGAAGGTTTCTCCTCCTCTCGCTCAGTTGCGTCGTCCGACGCGGCCGCATTTATCTTGGCACAGTTTTCTGTGTGGCAATCCCCTTTGTGGTGCTCCACGCGGCTTATTCCTTGCGCTCACGAGAATAGGAGGTGATCAGTCTGAGGACCAGCCTTCTCCCTCTCTCTCGTTATCATGTTCCCCCCCTGCATGTGCCTGCTCCTCCCCCTCCTCAGGCATTCGGTTATAATGATATGCTTGTCAATGCGCGCCTGGCCCAGCTTGGCGACTAGTTGCGCATGTGGAGGACTGGCTGGGAGGATGGTAGGAGGACGGTGGATGGAGGGTAGTTGGACGTCGCCGAGCTTTTTGTCGTTCCAATTCTGCGCCCTCCATCGGATTAGCGTGGCGATAATCGTGCGGTTTTCCGCCGCCGTCTCGACTTACGTTTCCCGGCGTCAGGTCGCGCAGATGTTTTTCTTTCCCCTCTCAGGAAGATGAGCTGTTGTTGTGCGTTCCTTGTGCGGCACCGCCTTATAAGAGCTCAGTCTGGTCGGAGAGGTCAGGCAGCCTACTCGCGACTCTTCCCCTCGGTCTGCCCTCCTACCGAGCGGGAAGTTTTGGATATGCGTCCCAGTCTTACTCTCTCCTCTCGGATCTTATCATGCCTCCCCTCGGTCCTGCCCCTGATCCTTCCCCTCCAGTGCAGAATGGGAGCTACGTATAGCTGGCCATTAGTCGTGCCAACCCCGTGCTGTTCCGCCCAATCTGGGGGTATGTGGGGACTTTAGGTCTGGGTACGGTCGGGGGGAGCATTTACACCTTGGCGCCCGTGCTGCTAGACACTGCTTGTTTCTGCCAGCAGCTAGTGAGTGTCGCACTCAGCTGACCGTCTCCCCGGCGAATCAGAACGCAATCCAACAATCCTCCTCCCTCCTCCCTCCTCCCTCCTTCCTCCTCCCTCCTCCCTCCTCCCTCCTCCCTCCTCCTCCTCCTCCTCCTCCTCCTCCTCGTCCTCCTCCGCCGCCGTCTCCAGGAGGCGTGCAGGCGTCGAGCGGGCCTGCCAAGACCTTACCCGGATGAGGCGGTGGCCCCGGTCGAGAGGGGATCCCCCCGTGTGCGGGTGGGGGGAACCGTGGCACCGCTCGGCTAGCTGCAATCGCTCGGCGGCCAAAAAGTCCGCGCGGCCGCGGAGAACCTCGGGAAAGGGAAGGGGTTCGACGGGTGGCGCGGCGTTCTCCCGCCCAATTGTCCTTGTCCGCGAACTCCACGAACTGGTTGCGGTTGTTGCTCTTCCGTGCCCTTCTGCTCGATGTATTGGTACCCTTCGAGCTTCTTCGCCTGCGCGGTAGAACGGTTGGCAGTCAGCGTGGGAATGCGAATCTGTAAACCGCCGAGTC